AGGTAGGTAACATATAACAAAAAAATAACTATTACTAATTTTTATTTTTAATTTAGTTTTATTTTATCTGTATTTATTTCCTTTTAGAATTCATCACAGTTCAGATATGTTAAAACTTCTGAAAGTATATTTGTTTTAAATTTAATATTTTGGTTTTTATTCGTTTAGTGAAGGCGTCGCTTATTGATACCCACCAAGTAAATAATGTTGTTGACGGTACGTCGATAGGAGAATGGTTTTCCTTTGGTTTGTTTACTGAGTGCGTCACGTATTGTCTTCTCTAGCTCCGGAGGCCAAGTGACACAAATTTGCTTTTGATATTCACGCGACGTCTGGGACAAGGAATGTGCCAGAATGTTTCTCAGATACATATTTTTTTTTATATTATTATTTAAAGTGTGGTGTTACTTTTTTTGTTTTTTATTAAATCTAGACCACTAAATATTTCAGTGCTATAACAGTAATTATTAAATTAATAAAAGAATTTAAAATAATAAAAAAATTAAATTTTTGAATTAGAATTTTTACATAGTAAAACAAAATATTGGGTTTTAGTTGATTTATATCCTTGTAGAACAATCAAAAGCCTAATTGCATCCCAGAATCTAAATTAATTAAAAATGTTTATTTGTTATTCTCTATTTGAAAATCTAAATTTTACCGTAATGCTCATTTTATATTTAAAACATTTCAGTTTAGTTAAAGTTAAGTTTATTATTTTCAATTATTTAAATTTGTCATTAAGCTAAAATTGTTATAAATATATTATGTTATATATATAATATTGCTATTTATAAATAAACGTACAAATTAATTAATTAAAAATTAGATTTCTCTATATTATTTTTTTAATTGATTCTATGTAGAAGTGGAAATATTCTCGCCAAGTACGCGCATATATGATCTCGCATAAGATGTCCGGACTACGAATTTTGTCGATTGTACATGTGTTTAAATTGGGGATATTCACTTTCGCCGTGGATTTTTTTTTATCCCATAAGGAATTATAATGTTTTTTAGATATCTCCACAAAATTGTGAAAAACTCTGCAGGCTATTATCACATGCGGCATATTGTAAACATCCAGGTCGCTCTTCTTATAAAATATTCTCCATATTTCTTTCAAGCGACCAAATGCTTGCTCCACTACAATTCGTGCTTGATTTAAATATAAGTTGAAGGATGTCTCTTAAACGGTTAACTCGTCCCTATAATTTTTCATAAACCAGTTACAAAGCATATAAGCTGCATAATCAATAATATAATACAGAAGTTTGAAAAGCATAGCTTCATTTGAGGCGTAGTAAAATCCGTCGATTTCCCTATGGCTTTCAGGAATTATTGTATTATGGTTTTTGTATAGAGAACTGCCCCTAAGCACTGATGCATCGTGTGCACAGCCAGGATTTTGTGCTGTAATATTTCTAAATAAATATTGATCATCCCCAATAGCTTGCACTGCAATGAAACTATAACGCTTTCTGTTACGAAAGTCTGCAGCACCGTTTTGTGTGGATTTAATTAGCACATGAGTGACGTCTATAACACCAATAACATTTTGATGCATTTGGCTAGGACAACATTTTGTCAACTTGATTTTCAATTAAAACTTTACAGAAACTGTGAACACATAAGCAAATAGAACTTTTTGATACTCCAAATCCCTTTGCAATTACACGGTATTCAGCACAAGAGGCAAGTTTGTAAACTGCAATAGCTATTTTCTTTTCAGCAGACAGCCTTTTAACGAAAGTATGTAAGGACAGAAATTTTTATGAATTTCTATCCTACATAAAACTCAATGTTGAAAACTGTATATCACATGTAACACTGAAAATAAAAGAAACAATGAAGAATGTATCACTGAAATTATGAATAAATGAATTAATACCTATTCACTGGTAGCACCACAATTGAATTTATATGTTTCCTTCTGTTTATAAAATTTATATCAAATATATATTTTATTTCACTTTTAATTTAGTAATTTTCACTTTTCCTCGACATGGTAAACAAATCCACGTTTACGCAAATGTCAAACGAAAACACACATGGTAACCGCAAAGAGAAAAATGCTTACGCATAAAAATAGCAAATAAACGCGGCGAAAAATGCAAACCAGCTGTAAATAAAACAAATGAGAGTAGAATGCGAATGCACACTCATATAACAGCGACAAAACACAAGTTCAAGCGGTAAATAGAACAATTGCGCTACATTGCTGGCCGGCCTGATGCGTATATAAGATGACGCACTTGTTCAAGACAGGCACTTAGTGATTAACATCCCAAGTCATCGGAGGCACCCAGGAGAACTTCGACAGCTAAGTTATTTATTTTTATATTATCTTATATAAATTTTTTATATAAAAATTATATATATATAGGTATATATTCCAGTCCAAATCTATTATAAGCGTGTATACGTTTATATCTGTCCAAACCTATTATAAGCGTGTATACGTTTATATCTGTCCCAACCTATTATAAGCGTGTATACGTTTATATCTGTCCTAACCTATTATAAGCGTGTATACGTTTATATCTGTCCAAACCTATTATAAGCGTGTATACGTTTATAGCCAATCCCATATAAAATCTAATACACTAGCTTAAAAGTATTTTTATATTCTAACCATTGTTAGCTTTAAGAAACAAAATCGAATAAACATACTTTTAAAAATTAATAACTAAAATACTGTGTCCTCATTCTATATAAATTTATTGCAACGACACAGGACCAACCACTGAGTTTACCCCAGCTAACAGGGACGAACGAAACGTGTCGTTACAAGTATGGTGCCATTTTATCCTTAAGCAAATCTACTAGCCTGAGAAATATTTGCCAATTTATTCGAAAATCAGCAATCCATTTTTCATCGTCATAGAACTGCAGAACTTCAACATCCCACCACTCTGAAATTCTCTTCCTATTGCTAAAAGTTCTTATTCGTGGTGGAAGCTAAAAACAAAAAATCAACATTTCTGTTAACCGTTAAACAGTTGATTGATTGACAGCTACCTTAAAAGTGCTTTTATAATACTATGTTTACATTACGAACTTTGCTGGCTGGAATCGACTTTGACCGCAAAACCAGCAACCAAAGTCGATTTTGCCATGTAAAAATAGGCACAACAAAACTCGAACTTTGACCGAAAGTTGGCTTCATTTAATACCTTTTCCTGAATACAGTGCTGAATTTAATGCGTTATCGATAAGTTTTAAATATGAAAATGGCGAAATGACATTTCGTTTTGTTTACACTTTTGTTTGTTTACATTTAAGTTGTTTACAATAAGTTGAATGCAAGCGGCGTTCAGTAGAAAGAAACTTTCTATACCTATATAAAGAAAGCTGCATATAAAAAAGGAAATATAACAACAATTATATTTATAGAAACTTTTGTTATTAAAATAATTTTCTTTTATTACTAAAGTGTTTAATCTCGAATTCGGATTACCAAAATAAAAAAATGTGAATGAAATTGATTTTTAATGAAAGTCATTAATAATTTACAAATTCATTTTTGATATTTTAAACTTTTATACAAGTTTTTAACAAAATTGTTAATTGTTATTTGCTGGGTTTGTTTCATTCTGTTCATTATATGCAATTTTTCTTATATGGCGTTTACATTGGCCGAAAATGGCTCATTTTGAATGAGCCATTTGAAAGTGTTTACATTCGTTCTATTTCATTTGTTCTTATTTCAACAGCTGATTTTTCAACTTGCATGTTGATTTGATTTTTGGCCTGTGCCAAAAAAATTTTGCATGAAGGTTAAATATGCCTTCAAACTTTACATTAGAAACTTAAAACATATTTTTAACTTCGATTAATTACTTTTTGGGAAGTAAAAGTTCTAAAAAGCAGTGCATCATTTTCAAGAAAATGCAACCACCAAACATTTGTTTACCCTTTTTTGTAAATATGTTAAAAACAGCTTTTTCAAACTGTCAAAATGCCATGAAGAGCTTTCATTTAGGGTATGTTCAATGGATTCCTTTGCATTTGGAACGTATGTGGAATGCATTCGAACGTCTTTCATACAGAATGTGAGAAAATTGCTCATTTTTGTGCTTGAAATTTTATATGCAAGAATGAGCCATTCGATACTCATTTTCGATTTTTGACCAAACTGAGCCATTTTCGGCCAATGTAAACGCCGTATTAGACTAAGAAATTGTAAAATGTTCTATATTTATTTGCCGCTATTAATTGCAATATTTTAGCAATTATTTTACGGCGCTTTAATCGTATGTAATTTAATCATTATTGAGAATTTTATTTTGTTGTGCAGATTCACTGCAGAGCAATGTAATTATATTTTGATTCAAAATTTTCATCAAAATATATGGTAAACAAGCACAATATTCACAAGTATCAAAATGTAAACAAAACAAATATAAACAAAAGATAACAAAAATAGCAACTGTCAAAGTGAAAACCCGAAACGATAATGTAAACGCTAAATCAACTTTAGCAAAGTTCGTTCACTAAAGTTCGTAATGTAAACATAGTATAAGAACAAATTTTAAAATGAGTTTTAAAAGTAATTTTAAGTTGTGACCACTGACTTAGAACTTCAAATTTGACAGGGGACAAGTTCAATCCTTTTCACTTATAATTTAAAAATTAATAAAGTGTGAAAAATATTTTTAAAAAGACCAGTAATGATGGCTATTTGGTATTACTCGACACAGCTGTTTAGTCAGTCAAATATTTAATTAATTAAAAATATGAATTTGTTGTTGTAGTTCACTACTATTTAAAAACAAATATTTTTATTAAAAAATAGTTTCCATCAAGAAAATAGTTACTTGCATCATAATTGATTTTAAAAACCCAAATTAATAAAGCGCTTTAATTAAAATTTATATTTAGTGGTTTAAAATTGTTTTCACATATTCAGTTTTTTTATAAAAATTTTACATGATTTAATATGTTTAGTATTTTACTGTTAAAAGACAAAAATTTAGAAATTTGTTACTTTGTTTTATTTCGAAGGCAAATAAAATTGCTATGATTGCAATCCTATCGTGCCGTTTACTTAATATGACAGTAGTAGGATGAATATATGCATACTCTTTGTACATATGTGTACAAGAATTTCAGCAAAAAATGCTTGTAGTGCTGGGTTTTATGTGATTGAATTTGGAAAACTGAAAACCACAATAAAAGTCGAAGTAGAATTCAGAGGACTCGTTTTGTTCAGTGCGTTAAGTTTTGGTACTTTGAATTTGAAGTGGAATAAATGACTTTATTTCACAACTTAAATAATATGTGTACTAATTATCATATTGTATATGCCCAACAATTTTAAAAATAATGAATTACTGATATAGTAAATGAAAAAGTATCTTAAGGAGTTTAATTCCATCTGCACATAAAATGTCTATACCTGGAATATGCAACCGAAAGCAAATTGTATGCAAATCGATGTAAGATGTCATGAAAACTGGTCTTAAATTCAATTAAGTTGGATATTAGACATATATATTGGATAATATTTTGGATATTTAAAGTTGTAAATTAAAGCAAAAAGTTCCAAATGTTCCATAATTAAATTTTAATAAATCTGTACCTTTTACAAATTGGTGTCGCAAAGCAGGAAATCCAGAATGAGGTGTTTCGCAGTTCTTTTAATTTGTATGTATACATGTAAGTAAACTACATATGACCTATGTACATGGAAATATTACTGTGCACTTTGTACAATAATTTAATTTATTTTCATGCATAATAGTTTTCTATTATGTAATTTTTTCATATTTCAATTAGGATTTAACAGTGATTATATTCAAACATACACTAATATTATTGTGCAAACGTTAAATATTTTTATACAGATCTACGTACAAATTTTTCCATTAGTTTAGTCCCTTTAGTTAAATGTAGACATGCTTTTTATATATTATAATAACTATAATACGACTTATGGCATCATATTTTTTAAATATTTTATAGACCAAAATAATTGTGTTGAAGTACATTTTGAAGCAGCTGATAGTGGATTTTTTCTAAAGCATCCCCAACAGGGACCAGTGGCGCCAGAAATTACTCAAATGGTCGCAAATCAACCGGTTAAAGCTAAACTTCCGTTCGATTCAATTTTATCTATTGACAGATTCACCGTCGTACAATCAGCTCAGCCCGTTTCAATAAGAGCTAGTTATGGACCCTTTTCTACTAAACAAACCGTTCCTGCTCGATACATTGTACCAGAAATTGAAAACCAAGGCGAAATAATAACCGTAAGCATAATCTAGTAACATATTGCATATTAATAAATATTCAATAATTTTAGAACACGACATTAGCACTTATCGAACTGCAACAAGCAAACGTGCATTTAGATATATCTGCCCATTTAGTTCGCACAACTGTACCACAAGATTCACCAGTTTTAAGGGTATTATTCCATGCAGGAGCTGATCCCGGAGGTCACTTGCAAAGACAAAAAATTTGTGTATTGTTACATGTGTCAATGGGGTCGCAAGTGGCATTAAAAGGACGCTGCATGCCAGAAGGGGAGGATGGTGTTTGCGTTGCAGAGGTATATCCGTTTATAGAAACATTTGATTTAATTTGTAACTACATGCAATTATATTCATATATATATAGTGTTTTTGGACAACGTTATATTAGATGATATAAAATACTGGCGGTTTTTTCATATATTTTTGAAGAAAATTTTCTTTCTTGAAAATTAATTTTAATTCAGTATATATTGGCTATTATTATCTATGACCTATTGCCATTTTTTGGGTAGCTTCATAGCTCCTTTGGTGTAGAAGTTGTGTGATTGACAGGTGAAAAACTTGCTTAAGTGTTTTTCAACGGCATATTTTTTGTAGCGGTGTTACCTTTTTTATAGTAATAAAGCGTCACATGGCGTATTTTTTCAGATATTCAATATTTATAGTACTTTTTATCGCATGGTTCTTTAATCTACCTGGGAAGTATTGTGTCAAATAAGAGTGGAGCTGATGAAGATGTTAATGTTCATATCAACAAAGTGATAGCCGCATATATAGAGAAAGATTCACGTCTTTACTAACAAGTGTCTACACAAAATTCTCAAAATATGGTGGCCAGATCGAATATTAAAAAAATGCCTGCTAAACAAATCGAATTAAAAAGCAGCATAAATTGAGATAAAAAGAAGAAAGTGGAAGTGGTTAAGCCATACACTTAAACAATTGTGAAATTACATAGCGAGGCAAGCTTTAGCTTTCTATAGAAGAGTATCAAATAGAGTAAGTTTTAGAAAAATTATTGAGGCCTTATGCCCCATTGGGGGAAGTGGACAATAGTCTTATTACTATTACTTTTTTCACAAGCAACGAATTCGATAACAGTCTTCAAAAAAAAAATGAATCGCATTCGGACTAGTATTGCAGGATATATACATCAAAAAACAGTCGGTTCTTTTTATATCACCTAATATAAGTTTTAAAAACAATCGTATAAAAAAACGTTTGTTTTCAATATTACCCAAAACAAAAATTTGTTAAAAATTTGTTTTTAATGCTTTCAAAAATAATTTGATTATGTAATAAATTTTATCCCATTAATTCAAGTTCGGTTATTCTGAAAGTTGACATGTCATACTTTAGAACAACCGAAGAAGTTATGGTCTAATTTTTAGAAATAAATCAACCTCAAAATTATTGACAATTTTTTGACCGGTTCTCGTATAAATTTCTTATTACATAAAAAATCATCTCTTTGTAACAGTGACCGTACTAGTTATCATTTAAAAAAAATAACTTAAAATTCCATATTATTTGTATTTTAAAATAAAACTCAAAAAATAATAATTAAATTTGTTTTATATTTATTAAAACTAATTATTATTATATGCCTCTTACTTTTCCATGTACAAATAACTCACCTTTTTATTTTAAATTCAGGAATAACTATTATTTTTAAAAAGTAAATTATAACTCACATGTTAAGTGTCTTATTTGTAAAACAGAAAAATGGAACGTTTTTCTATGTATTTTAGTTTTTTTAGTTTTTTGTTTTTATATTATTTTGTCATTTAGCTTTTTGTTTTTATATTATTTTGTGTGCAAAATCAATGCTAATTGAGACATTTTACGTCCTTAGAAATGTAGGTCTTGCTGATTAATTTTGAAAAAGCTTTTCAGCGTTTATATACCTAGTCATTATTTAATAATGGGTGGGGATCTAAGAAGTTTCAATATTGAACGCATTTAAAACATTTATGACTTATTGAAGTTTTGAAGTTAATATTGAAAAGGTACTTTCACCATTTTATCAGATATACAATGACAAATCGTTAGGAATTCCTTCGATCCGTAGTTCTGTTAATCGCATTGGAAAACTCCGTGTTCAGTAAGATCAAGAATCTCTTAAAAGTATGCAGAACATTCTCTGTATACTCCAATTGAAACATGGCTTCATTAATTCTAGGGTAGCATTATTTGCGAATAAGCGTATTTGGTGAAGATTAAACAGCGTCTTTCCACCTCTCTTAAATAGTAAAGTGGTTAAATATCTTAATTGATTTAAATGTTTTCTTGAACAGTATTACATGGGCTCTTCTTTTATCAAAAATTATCTTGATATACACTTGGTTCTTATACCCTCCATATTACAAGATAGTGAGTCATAACCTTAAGAATTTTTTCTCTACTATCAGGCGATGCTAACTGCATCTGTTCTTCCATCCATAAAATACAAACGGATTTGTCGACGTACAATCTCTTAATTAAGATTATTAACATTGAAGGATTAAGCCGCGAGATAACATATCTAGATATTTTGAATATTCTGCACTTATATAATGAAGTGCGATTTCTAAGGAAATCCATAAAAAAGTTTTGATATTTTCGAAGTATAACTCCTGTGTTATGCAAGTTGTAAACCATGCTCCTAATAGTACAATAATAATTGTAAACCAATTCTTCCATCTGGAAATGTAGATCTAATGTAAACAGTCACTCCAAAAATCCCCTTTGAAGCATTACAGAAAGTATGATTAATGGGTTTTTGTGATAATTGACCTAACAAGGAATATGTTGTAGTCCCTTCAGATTGGTACGAAAGCAAACTCACATGGTATGCATATGTTTCGTAAGTGTTTCATCCCAGTCGAGTTGATTCTCATTGGTCGGGTTTATTTGGAGCAATCGTTTTCTAACTTTGGTTTCAGTTGCCGATCTGATCTGAAAATTATTAGATTTGGACAATCATATGATCTCCAAAGATTTGACAATTTGATATTCTGGAACAAGACTTTTTACTAATTGATTATTTATGTAGTTTGAACCCTTTTCGTTTTGTAATTTATAATTTAAGTATACATTTTTATTTAATTTAATTAATATAATATAATATAATTATACTTTATAATTTAGGTAGTGAATAAATTGAAAAATCATTAAACTTAATTAAATAAATCTGAATTATTTAATTTTGTTAGGTTGTAATACCATCATATTGGTGGCCTTCGGTTCCTCCTACTAAAGGGAGCCAAAGTAGTATGCCACAAAAAGTTCCACAAAAGTTTGCACAAGTATCATACAGTGTATTTGAACCACCGATACGCAGTGCAGAACAATGTGAACCCAAAGTACAAATACAACCTCTAACTGTGTTTGCACAAGTGCCCCTCGTTTCAGCAACTGCACCTTTTAAAATTCTATATTCAGATGAATTTCTTAAAATAATGATACCGCAATATCCGTTATATCCAATGTCAAAAATTCATGTTCCTGTTTATCTTCGGGAAACCTCAAATCAAAAAGTATCTGCTTTTACTGTAAAAGCACGTGTAAAATCTGGTATAAAAATCTTGGGAGCTTCCATTACGTCTGACTTATGGAATATATCAATTGAAAAGGAAAACCAAAAGCATATTACGGTTAGAGTTATGGCCGTACAAAAAGAACACAATTTAAATTCTGGTGAGAAATTGGAATATGATAACAGCTCTAATAAGTAAGTATTTAATTGCTTTAAGTTATTAGTTCAATATAATATTTATTAAAAATTTTAGTATCTTTGAAGTATTTTCGTGGTTGTTAGAAGTTGCAGAGGATACAAAAGAAACTTTAGATAGAGGGAAAATCGTCTGGTCTATATCTTACATTTTTTACCATTCCAAAGTAAAAGAGCCAGCAACATTACTATCAGATGAAAGTAAAAGAAAATTAATTTCAAAACTTGAAATAAATAAGGATGATATACAAGCTGTACTTCCAATGGCTAAGGTAAGATATTTAATATATGTGGATATTGATTTTTTTATGGATTCCATTACCTTCATTATTTATTATTAGTTTTATGGAATCACACATTTTGCACGTGTAATGTAATTGAATTGTTAAGTATATAAAAAAAAAACAAAAACAAAAGATAAAAAGTGTGGCAGTCCTGCTGAGTTGAGCTCTATTGTTGCATTGCTCTAAAACCTAACACCATCTTTGCTTTCCTTATGGAAACCGCCAGCAACATTTAGATTATTTTCTATTAACTGCAACAGTATATCCAATTGGCTTTTATTTGCCTTTTTAGCCCTTTGTAATGAATATAAGTATTCATTATATTTATTTAATATTTTCAGCTGCAGACAAATGCGATTTTTTAATTTAAATCAAGATATGATACACAATTTTTTTTTTGTTTTGCTTATTTTTGGACTTTTTGCCATTAAAAAGTGCCATAGTTGTCAAAGTTCGAGAAAACAAATTTGAAATTTTTGTTGTTCCCAAAACAGCAGTCTCCCAAGTAATTCAGAATAAGGAAGTTCTATTCGAGGGAATAGCGAGGGAAGAGGGGGACTTATTCGCTGGGAGTATTCAGATTTGTGGTGTTTATACTTTTTGTTATTAGTTTTTATATGCACTATTTAGAATATATTTCATTAATTTTGGTTTCACTTATGATCAACTACTTTCTAATTCTCGCACGCACTAATTTTGTTAGAATTTGCAATAATTTAACTTAACAAAGAAGAGACAGTGGTCTAGATAAGAATGAAATGAATTTAAGATGCGAAATAAAAAATGTGCCGATTGCAATCCGCAAAACTGTATTTTGACATGTTTGGATGTTAGTCCATTGCGTCTCGCAGAGTTGCGGGGTCCATACTGGAGCTACCTAGGCCACAATAGTACAACCTATTGCTTTATATGTGCTCAGCAGGGTTTCTTTATCTTTACTCCAGGAGCACCCAGTGAGACCTTTTAAGACATTATTGCAGGAATGGTCATGTGCGGCATGTGCAGAAAACGTCAACATACTGTCGAGAACGACACCCAGAATTTTGGGTTTGGTGGTGGTAAGGATCCTGAATTCACCGATATTAATGGGCAGAGTCATGGATACCTCTTTAGTTCAGGAAGTAAAGAGGGTGGCGGAGGATTTTTTTGGTGATTGGTGAAGATTTCTATCAACGAAAAACGATACCACATCAGGGGGGTATGCATTTAATTTATTGCACAATATGAAGAGGCCTAGCCTGTCGTAAAGATTGTGCAGTCATCTGCATTCGTTATGACTCTGACACTCTCAGGGGATCTGGGAGTTTAGATATGAAGAGGTTGAAAAGGATTGGTGAAAGATCGATGCCTTAAGAAACACCTTGTTTCAATTTTCTAGCTTTAGATATCTTATTTCTAAAATCGACAAAAGTATGATCTGCCTATGAGGTAATTGCAGAGCTATCGTTTTGTGATGTCAGGATGGATGTTTCGGCTAGATGTTTAAAAAGGTGGGATGAGAGATTGTGTCAAATTCTTTCGCGAATAGCACCGTTCGTTCTCACGGTCGACTTTAGTTGAGACCATTTGAGATATGAGATGGTACTATGACGTTTTCTGAATTCATGCTGATGGGGAGCTAGGTGGATATATGGAGATATATGTTTTAAGACTAAAGACTGCAGTACTTTGGCAACTGGAGATAATAATGAAATCGGTTTATATGATTCATCTACGCCAGCCGGTTTGCTCGGTTTCAGCAGAGGAATGATTCTATCGAGGAATCATAATCATAAAGTATCAATCTTCCATATGTTTGCAATGATGTGGGAACTGATGGAAGCGTTTAAAATGTGGGTCAGAACTAATTGAGCACGAGCATTATTGAAATGTCATGAGCATTGAAAGGTCCAAGAGGCTTTGGCTCGAAAGCTTTCTGATCATATTATTAACATCGTCCGGGGAAAAAGTATGGTGTCGTCGGAATGTGGCTTCCGAAAAGCGCGTTTCTGTCTGCGAATTTAATGGAAGGTAAAAGTATTGGGCACGAATAGACGGCAAAATTGCTGGGCGGATAAGTTATCGCCTTGTTGTTAACTTTAATGGTAATCTACAATTTTGAGAGTCGCAATTATTTAAGAGTTTCTTCCATTTATTTAGGTGATGTTCGTCTACCATTTTGCGTATATTACTGTTGAGGGTAACTATGCGTAAATTTGCTGGGTCAAGTGTACGAAGATTGTAGTGTTCTTCGGCGAAGTATACAGAGTGACTAGGAAAACTTGGCCTTAGTACTTTGTTCTTAACGCGTCAAGTTAGTCGCTGGTCTAGGTGAATACCTAAGTACGTTATATTATATGCTTATGAGATGAGGATATTATTTAGTAAAATGTTGGAGATATACTCCAATTTATGGTAAAAAGTGACGTGTCTATATTTCAGTTAATTTTAGTTCGCCATTTTGATGACCATTGCTCCATCCAAAATAAGTTTGATTGAAGTTGATAATAACTCAACGTTTTTGTTCCGGTATAAAATTGCCGTATAATCGGCAAACGTTTTGGTGATAACTGATATTGGGATATCAGATGTATAAAGTACATACAAGATAGAGCCAAAACACTTCCTTGTGGAACGCCAGCTTCTATTGAGAAATTAGTTTGCAGATAATAGTCAGCATATCTTATATATAAGCCGTTTATGTCATACTTTGTCAAATGCTTGTTTAACATCGAGGAATACCGCGGAACAATATTCTCTGAGCTCAAATGCGTGTCTTATTTCGTTCGTTATACGATTCATTTGCTCAATAGTTCCATGTTTTTCCCTAAAACTAAACTGGTGGAAGGATATTAAGTCTTGAACGTCAAGAAACGGTTTTAGCTTTAAAAACAGTGCTCTTTCAACGAGGTTAGAAAGGCATGGCAGTAAGCTTATTGGCCTGTATGAAGAGGCAAGCGTGGGATCTCTACCTGATTTATGAATCATAATAATCATGGATGTTTTCCACTTTGTTGGGTAAAATCCAAATTTAATAATGACATTAAAAAATCTTATGATAAAATTTATGGCCAAAAGGTGTAAGTTTTTTTTCTTAATGGGTGATATGTTATCATATCCCGGTGCCTTTTGTGCAATCTAACTTGTTTGTGACTATTTGAACAAGATCTTTGGCCGTGATAATCATGTCAATAGATGGTGCTGGTGGATCTTGAGTGGGAAAGTTATAATGTCATGTTGCAGGGTTTGGTAATCATCTCTTTTACAGTATTTGCTTAATTGGTTTTGCATTTTAACTATCTCATTAAGAGTAGTTTGCCTGATATAAACTGACCTTATCCAGACCTTAAGATGAGACTAGAGATCATCATTTCCAAAGTATTGCTTTGAAATGGAGGAGCTTGTTGCTTGTCAGATTTGACGATATTAGCATATAAAACATCTGGTGTAACAGACTTAGAAGATAAAGGTTGGGGTACTTCAACTAATTTGGTGGGGGTACTTTTTGTACGATTACGCAAGGTTTCTTTCCGCAGAGTAACCTGTTCTTCAGTTCTTTATAAATAGGATACCCTCCGATAAATACCCTCCGGATTCCGATAAATAACTAAATAGTCGGCTTTAGTTTTGATTAACCGTTTTTTATTGTTCTTAGTTTTGTTAAACGCAAACACACAATTTTCTCTAATAATAATAATACAATAATAATAATAATACAATTGAATTCGAAACTAAACCTGACATACTTAGAAAACTATTTTTAAGATTACTAGATTCCTTATTCATATATTCCATATTCACAACAATATATTTTATGATGAAATGAATAAATAAATAAAAAGATAATTAATAAATTAAATAAATAAAATAAAATTACAATGTTAACATCTTATCATCTTCAAGATTAAATTTCCCGTGCTTATAGTAGACACCCTACTTATTTTTCATAGTTTTAAATTTCTAACGCATACGACTCAGTTTTGTTCATGTGCATCTAAAACACTCGAAAAAAAATTTTTGCCCTATTTAGAGTACGATAACCCGTGCCGACTTGCATCGAATCATGTTCATATATGCTACGCGGCAGTAGCGGTGCGTGTTCACGACATTTGTTCTCAATTATTCTCTCGATTAATACGTATTGTTTTGCATTTAAAAGATGGCAGTGGAATTAAGAAGTAATAAAAAATGTGTTTTCTTAGTTGGTGACGTAAATGATGAAATAACAAGCGCAAAATTACCATCTAATCGTCAAGTTCTTGCAGTACTTTTTTTTAACATTCACGAAGTTAAATTGACTGTTAGTAAAAGCGTTAATCTCGTCATTCAGGAGTGTATTATATTTTAGGAAAAAGTTAGAATCCCTACTAGAGCTTTACCTAACTGTATAAAAAAACTTGTGGGTCTTCACCATGCATGGAGGCGTTGCAAAAAAATTCTAAAAAAATACAAGATATTTACAAGCGCCGTGAGGACGACTTGAAGAATAATTTAGATAATTTATTTGATATAGCACACGCTGATGCTTTGGAACGGATGAAAATTAAAGAAGATAAGATATTTTGTACAAAATAAAGAAAATCAGGGCGTTCAGGGTTTTTAGCGGGTGTAGACAAAAAGTTGGCCGAAAAAGAAGAAGAATCAGGATAAAGGAAATTAAATGAAGAGAAAACAGATGCGAGCAAATGTGTTTCAAATGTTTATTGTTATCTGTTACTACGCATGGAGCGATGCATCAAACAAGGTACATGGTTAGAGCTATTTACTCTTTGAATATATGTTTGTTGTAATCCCAGTTCAAAATTAGCGCCAAGGATAAGCGAGCACTTCAAGACGTCTGTTTATTCATTGCGGTTTTAAAATCATATATGTATGTTTCTGGGAAGAGATACATTCCATCTGTTTGTCAAAAGCACAAATTTATTTTCTCGATTAAAAATAGATCAAAATTTCCTCCAGAGACCCGTTTCTACATGGGATGAAGATGTTGCCTATTCGGAGGCGAAAAG